CGGTTCGTAGGGACGGAGCGCGGCTATCGCTGACCATCGCTAGGGGCGGAATACTTTTTTGCCACGCTGAAGCGACTATTCAAGGCGCAAACAGTAATAAATTATAGCGATTCTTTTGCAGAAGGTTAAATAATTGATATTCCGATTCAATGTCTGATGATAGTGATTCGTTATATTCTATTTCACTGTCGTCCCTTGTGAAATATTCCTCAAGATTTGACATTTTGTAGGGTGTCACGAATAAAAAAAAATAATCGAACAAGTTATATTCCGCACTATCGTTGTTGACGCGAGCGAGACCGTGAGGTTCTTACATTCGCAAGACGATACTGCTGACCGAGTCGTTTCGAGTGCTTTGAGTCGCGAAAAGGTGACGGTGCAGGTAATTATTTTGAAATCTAATTGGTTAGAGAGTGGGACATAAAATGGGATTTCCGTTTCGGAAATTCCCGGGGATTTTTATGACCCTAATATCGCCCAACCGCTACCTAAGGAAGGCAAATTACTAACGAGTGCCCCTGTATTAATTTTACACGAAAATAACTGCGTATCGATTGAAAAAATCGACAAACGCATATATGCGCCCTTAGTCCAGGCCGATGACTTAGAGAAAACACATAAATGCGGCTTTAGGCTACACGGACTTTCGCCAAACGCATATATGCGTCCATAGAGCTCTAAGGGTTAACAAACAGAATGTCAAGCCCAACCCTCTGGTTTTTCTAGCTTCGGCAAAATGGCCGCAGAGAAATCGTAATTGCAACGTGTTACGGGAAACAGGCGCATTATGAAAGCCAACGAAACGTAGGAATTGATGTTGCGCTCCTATAATTGTTAATAAATTGCCACGTAGAACTTCAGAAGCGATCCAACCGGAGAACAGTTTTAGTTATTGTACACGAGTACCGGTCTGAGCTAAAAGTGAAATGAATCCTTCGAACGTTTCAGCGGCAATCTTTTCAAGTGCCTTCAAGCGCCGCTGCACGATTTGCGCACCTGGTTGCGACCCAGCGCGACGCCGACATCGACAACGTCAACGTCGCGTGTACAGAGGACCAATTCGCCGTTGGCCGACAGAGAAATAAGCTTCATCGACGATTCCAGCGTGGACAGCAGCGCGGTTGGCAGCAACCGCAGCAGTAGCAGCACAACCAGCAGCAACAGTGCTTCGGACGACGAAGCGTACCCCAGCACACCGGTCGCTGAAATCTCGCTGTCGTCGGCCAACTCTAGCGCTCCAGCCACGGCTAGAGCCTTCTCGTCCGATTCAGGGTTCGTGATCTCGATCCCTTCCGTCTACAATATATTATTTCCCTCGTACTGTACACAGCGAATCGCCTAACGCGACAAGGCAATATCACCTGCACGGATAAAAGAGAGTTAACCCTTTCGGTACGAGCGCGTTGTCCGCCGTGACACTCCCACTGTACGGGGTGCCGTGCCGAAAATGCGCACATAACGCAGGGTCAGTCCACTTTTGTACGAAGATTTTCTTAAGCGTTAAGTAATGACTGTTCTTAATCCGTTTCTAAATCTTTCTTTAAATGTTTCCTGTAAACATTCTGTAAAGAGTCTACAGAAATATGGCTTACATGGATGCCAGATGTATTCGGCACTCGTCCATATTGGTCATCAGATGGATGCCGGATATATCCGGCGCTCGTACCGAAAGGGTTAAACAAGAACGTGTATAATCCGTCCACGAAAAGATGGCAGTTTCGACAATGCGGTGCGGAGGACTTAGGTATAGTTCGCATATAGTAGGTAGATGAGATTTCAGTTGGTGAGAGATAGATCTTTACAATCTCTTTCTCTATGCTATCTTTTCGTGGACAGTCGGTACATGGTTGATCATCGTGTTAACGCGATATGAACGGTTTCAGTTTATTATATAATAAGTTTCGGTTTATTATATAATCCGTCCACGAAAACATGGCAGTTTCGACAATGCGGTGCGGAGGACTTAGGTATAGTTCGCATATAGTAGGTAGATGAGATTTCAGTTGGTGAGAGATAGATCTTTACAATCTCTTTCTCTATGCTATCTTTTCGTGGACAGTCGGTACATGGTTGATCATCGTGTTAACGCGATATGAACGGTTTCAGTTTATTATATAATAAGTTTCGGTTTATTATATAATCCGTCCACGAAAACTCGCATATAGTAGGTAGATGAGATTTCAGTTGGTGAGAGATAGATCTTTACAATCTCTTTCTCTATGCTATCTTTTCGTGGACAGTCGGTACATGGTTGATCATCGTGTTAACGCGATATGAACGGTTTCAGTTTATTATATAATAAGTTTCGGTTTATTATATAATCCGTCCACGAAAACATGGCAGTTTCGACAATGCGGTGCGGAGGACTTAGGTATAGTTCGCATATAGTAGGTAGGCGAGATTTCAGTTGGTGAGAGATAGATCTCTACAATCTCTTTCTCTATGCCATCTTTTCGTGGACAGTCGATACATGGTTGATCATCGTGTTAATGAACGATATGAACGGTTTCAGGTTCTCCTCGGAGATTGGGGATCGAAGATCGAGATGTTACGAGAACGGGGGTAGCAGTACGAGCAGCAGCAGCGGCAAGAGCAGGAAGATCAGCGAGTCTCTGAGCTGCAGCGAGCCAGACGAGCAGAGCACAACGGCGTTTACGCGGTCTCGATGGACTTCATCTTTTCGCAAGCTGTTAGGCCGAAAGCCGAAGAGCAAGTCCGCGTCAGATCGTTCCTCGTAAAGAAACTCGGAAGACTGAGAATCGCGTCGTGGCACCGTGCACGAAACACGAAGTGCGAAATCACCGTGACATTTAGTGCCCCTTTACTGCCCCTCCGTCTTCTTTCTCTCTCCCCCCCCCTCTCTCTCTCTCTGGCTCTCTTTCTGTCTCTCGGTCTCGATCCATAGAAATCGTCCGTTTTGATCGATAAGAGAGCACTGTCGAACATTCCTCGCGAGTATCGTCGAAGCATAGACACCAATCCGACAACTGCCAGCGTATTGACATTCGCATTGCAAACGAACCCTTTCTATAGCTAAACCGAGCAGAACTGGGGTCTGTAGCGCTCATGCGCCGCTGAAAGAAAAAACGGTGGGTGGGCGTGTTCAGCACCGCCCACTTAGCCGCGGAACGTCGCCATTGGTCCGCAAGCAGGGCTGTTGCTTCCAAAAAATGTTTTCGATTGGCTGCTACACAGAGCGTCTAGTCGTGATTATCAACACGATGTAATTAGTTGAATTTTCTGGAAACTACTTCTACCGATTTACGTCATAGATTTTTCTTAGCTCCGTCCACTAATTCCCCTAGGTCCTTCTACGAACTTCAGATTTTCAAGGCAATCTCTTAACTACTGCGAGAGTCTTTCTGTACTCCGCTCGTTAGATCTCTCTAGCTCCCACCTGCAAACTTTGAACATATTAGCTCCGCCCTGTAATCCCCTCTAGTTCCTCCCACAGACTTCGAGTACGCTAGCAAAATTATTTAGCATCTACTACCAATTCGTCTCTTAGCTTCTAGATAAATTGTTCTCAGCTCCGGCCACTAATTTTTCCCAGTTCTATCTATGAACTTTGCGCATGTTTTTTAACTCCGCCCAGTGGCCCCCCTCTAGCTCCTCCTACAAACTTCGAGTTCGTTCGGTAAAGCTGTAGTACTCTAATTGTATTCGAAAACGCGTCAACGACCACGGATTTCGAGCGACACTCGAATGAAACTTTTCCTCGCTGATGATCGTCGTTCTCCGATCATTTTACTAATAGGTTTACTGTCCGTAAACGATATAGTGTGTCTGATTCGTCAGCCTGGCAAAGTCACGTAGGAATTGAAACTCGAGAACGGTATCGACGCGAACGATCGATCGAATTGATTCTGGTGCGTAACGATGTTGATCGTGTTTGTAGATGGAAAATATGTTGATTGATATTATTATAGTTGGACGCGAAATTCTAAAACTAATTGTTTCCAATCGGGTGATAAAAAACGACGTTTATTGTTCGCGACACGTTTTACGTTGTTGTCTTTGTACTGTTGTTATTAGGGTGAGTTGTTGTCTTAGCCAAAGAACATATAGTAAGGGGACGGACGCTGGAACTAGAATAATTGGATGACCGTCCGCTTCTATCGATAGACCGCAAAGTTATCGAATGTTGAACGGTATAATCATTTTCCTAGAATCGACTGGAATTTGAAGAGCTTCTTTTCCGTAGCGAAGTGTTGTCCAAGGAATTTCAATGGTTTTGTATACAAATGGTATACGCGTACGTTAATACCAAATAGGATCGTGTTAACTCGAAATCGTTAGAAACAAAACGAAACGGGGCGATTAGAGCGGGAATTGAATTGATTGCGTAGGACTAATTGAATCGAGGGGAAACGTATACGTTAATCGACGTTTACCGATTGCCACGCGGTGAAATTCGCGTATTCAGGGTAACAATGAACGGTTTTCTCTGTTTGGTGTCGTTAAAAATTAGTTTACGATATCGCCTCGGTTACCGGACGAGTATTTCGGTCACAATTTCTGCCTGAGTTCCATTACAAATTACGATCGTCAAGAGATTATCGCATATTTTCTATATATTTTTGTATTCTATTTATGATTCGGATGTCATAGTTCTTACAAATTCACGAAGGAAATTGTCAAATTGAGACGACTGCCTGAATATATCTTAAGTTGATGCAACAACAATTGTGGAAACACTTAGCGTAAATAAACCATCAAATATAGATAAAATACTACTATCTCGAGTTGTTTCTTTGAACTCCCACCGGAACGATGTCGCAGATAATGGAACCGTCTATAAATAAAAACGGTTACGAATTTATTAATTATTTCCTTGCGTAAAAACGCTGCGAAATGTTCAAGCATCTTCACGCGGCACGAAAGGTGAGTAAACGATACACTGACGCATTTCCATTTGTTGCAAGTTAATATTACCCGTTAACATACCTTACTCGTATCTCCGTTTCATAGAAACTAGCCCATTCATTGTATTTAAGATAAATTTCATCGATAGACCTTATTTTCGGCAGTACCATTCCATTTCTTGAAAGATCTATATTTATACGAAGAAACAATTAACATACTGAAGATTACGAAGTTATAATCGCAAGATACGATCAGCGATCGGTATCTATGAATTTTTGATTATGGATATCAACAAGATATCGATACTACGAAACAAAGTTCCGTGTACTCGGAGCAATATATTGCGTTGCCGTTTGTCAATGTCGAATTAATCTACAAATATATTAACATGCATGTTCTAATCATTACGAACATACCACTTCCGTGTCGTTACCAATATTACCAACGGTTCATAAACCGTGGTTTTCTATAGCGGAAATAACGTATCGCGTACGTCTGTACACTTACCGATGACTAATATAATTTCGCGGGAAAGAACGTGTACACTTCGAGTACACTTAAAGAATTAAATTACGAACATTTACGTATGAGTCTTCTAGGATCTACTTTTGCATTTCTAAGACCCGATAGCCAACCTGTAGACTCCGAATTCTTTCTAGAAAAATCATTGATTGACCTGAGGAGAAAATGAATATCAACGAAACAAAACAAAAAAAAATATATATATATATTAAATTATAAATAATAAATTAATATATAATATTATATAAATTATTATTAAAATTAATATTATATAATATTTATTAAAATAAATATATATACATAAATTAAAATACCTCCCTGGAGGAACAGCAGCATTTCAGTAGCATTTATTTTGTTCTGTTTTTATTTATTTACTTTGAACCCTTATCTGTTCAATGAAAGCAAAAACTCATTTGTCCCAATGACTCATGGCGGGTCTTCTACCTGGCTGCATTGGAAGTTATTTATGACTCGACCTAATATACATATATGCACGTGTATCCAGTCTCCAGAGTGACGAAATATTTCGATACACTAATGTAAAACTGTCCAGGAAAACTACTCAGTTCCCCCGTCTGCAAGTTTCCTCGTTCTTATGGTTAACCGTTTCCTTGACTGCGAACTTCCACTTCTTATCTGAAATATCGGGAACTGCGGAAGATTTGTTCCATTCTTGTATGACGCAGCCGTACATAAGTGCAAAAACGTATCATGCGAAACAAACTTCCCGAACAATTTAACAATAGAATTTTATTTGGACTTTAAAGCAGCATATTATCGACTTCCACGACCGAAATTAAATATTTATCTTTACATTGTGCTTTTTTGCACAACTGATACCGTCTGATTATTCATTTCAGTTCTGTTTATGTTCCAGAGATACGGTATATATTCAATTGTTTCGTCGCGTATCAGAGTACCGCAAGAAGGTATGTACAGGTTGTCCCAAAAATATCTCGCAATCCGAAAGTAGGGAATTCCTGAGGTCATTTGAAGCAACTTTTTCCTTAGCGAAAATGCGATCCGCGGCTTCGTTTACGAGTTATTAACGAAAAACAGTGACCAATTAGAGACGAAATCATTTGGCGCGAGACGGCCGAGCCAATGAGCCAAACTGGGCTTCGTGCACTCGTTGGCTGGGCCGCCGCGCGCCAGCCGAGCTCGCCTCTTATTGGTCAGTGTTTTTCGTCAATAACTCGTAAACGAAGCCTCGGAGAAAATTTTCGCAACGGAAAAAGTTGCTTCGAATGACCTCGGGAACCTCCCGTTTCCGGATTGCGAGACATTTTCAGGACACCCTGTATATACAGTAATGTCTCCCTAACTGACGCTCAGATTAACTCCTTAATGCACAGTTTTTTTGAAAAAGGCCGGCCAAAGAAAATCAATTTTTTTAATGTAAAAAAACAATTTAGAACGTTGTCTTGGCAAAAAAATGAAAAGAATACAAAAATAATCAAAATTTTAATTTTAATTTTGGATTTTGATCCACATTGCAGAAAAGAGCCGAATATTGCAATGTTACACGTACATCGACTTTTTTATCTTTCTTTTCGAATTGCTATTTTTAAAATAAAAAACATATTTTTATCGGTAAAAGAAGATAAGCAATATCTAACCAAATCCACATCCTCAAAGGTTTCCATTTGTTACCGGCCCTGATCCAACTTTTCTTTTGGTGGAGAATTTTGATATACTGCGCTTTTGTTCCATGAAAAAAGGCTATATTTTATTCTTGAATAAATAAGTGTTATATAGCTTACAATCCCATGTAAATGATAAATATCAATAAAACGATTTTTTTTCTTTGCTTTCACATTGTTATTTTCAATTCTCGATTATATTCGAGTGTGAGAAATTATAGCAGCATAAAATACAACGCCGCTCGAATCATCTCGAGTGTGCACAGTTTGGCCAGTTTAGCGCGCTCGAGTTAACTCGAGCGTGCACGTTAAGGGGTTAAGCGTAAAAATGGACAATTCGGGAAAAGGAGATACGATTATTCGAGCCATGTGGCTCGTTTTTTATGGTTATCGATTGCCAACAACAAAATATAAAAATGAGCAACGAGACTCGAACAATCGTACCTCCTCCTCCCAAGAATTGTAACTATAATTATATCTTTGTAATCGTATCGTATACAAGTATGTGTAATACTTGTATAGTATACAATTATAATACTAAGTAATATAATATAAATATAATACAAGTAAGTATAATACTCGTATCGTATACAAGTATAATACTAAGTAATATAATATAAGTATAATATAAGTAAGTATAATACTCTTGTATCGTATACAAGTATGTGTAATACTTGTATAGTATACAAGTATAATACTAAGTAATACAATATAAGTATATAATATAAGTAAGTATAATACTCGTATCGTATACAAGTATGTGTAATACTTGTAAGTAATATCAGAAACGAATAGTATCGGAAGCTTCTGTTTGTCACAGAGAGAGAGATTCTTCCTTGATGAAAGTTCGCAGACGTTGCAAAGAATTACGTATCGCGCGACGTCAGTTCGCAGAATTGCGACTCGAGTATACAGCGTCTCCCACCTATCCGGCGCGGCGATAGCGTGCTCGGCTATATAGAAAATTTGAGTCGCGTGAAAGCGCCGCACAGACAAGTCGCTAGTCAGGCATCGTCGTCCTCTCATCGCGCCGGCGTACCGTCTCCACCGTCCGCGTGTATACATTGTAGTGTATCTTTCGCTTCAACAGGTACGTGTGCATGTGGATTCTCGTGGAACGTCCGTTGTAAACTAATTTTAGACGGTAATCGGTGCCGAATTGTCAGCGTGAATCGAACGCCCAACGTTTCCTATCTCGTACACACCGATCCGCCGATCTACACTTGAAATAATACCTTGAAACAGTGGTTCTCTTGGTGAACACAGATTCGATCGCCGTTTCTGTCTTTATTCGGGGACTTCCGGTCCCGGCGAAGCTCGCTTGTTGACGCCCTCGGATCGTCGTTGTTTATCGGAACTCGTGCAATTGCGTCAATTACATTACAGCTTCCTTTTGCCTGTGTTTAACAACGTATGTATAGCTTAGCGTAGAGAACGCTGCATTCTTACGTAGGCATTATAGCGAGACCGCGATGTACGAACGTGTGCATACGAGAGGTATGGAATTTCACGTTTCGGTGTCACGTTCCCACCTGGAACTGGCAAGGCTACGCCATGTAATTTTACATCGATCCCGTGTTCGTTTCGAAGCGAATAAATCCAAAGTATTTTTAGCTTTGTAATTCGGGCCACGGAATAAATTACTGTAATCTTTCGCGGTAAAAGTGTGCCGGAGAATGCACGAAACCATAACATTTGCTAACGCGCAAGTCTCTACGTTCGGTTTGAGTGTGTTTATGTAACACGCTACGTTCAAAATTTTATCCTTGAAACGAAAAAGCTATTTTCGAACGACGGCTTAACAATTCGTTGCAAAATGGAAATTTCGTTTCGATCGCTGTTTAAAATGGCAGCTTGCTGCACAAGTTGCGTTATCCGTTCGTTGATCCAAGATTCTATCCGATGAACGCGAATTTGTGGATTAATTAGACGTAGAATACGGATATGTTGTCCTATTAAATGCGAATGTTGGCCGAGCATTGAGCTTTATAAAAATAGCACCGAAAACAAAAGCGTTAACGTTCACGCGGAACATAATATTTTCGCAGTTGTACCTACGTTCTTGAGAATCGTAAACATAAATCTCTCGCGGACTGTTCCTTGCGAAAATAATGGTAGCCAGGGCGCACGGTGAAACACGAGACAGACGAATGTACAACACGCGAAGCTCTTGCCCTCGAAGTTCGCGTACTCTGTTAATTAGAGTGTTTCCTCGGCCACGATCCACGATATCAGGAAATTTCTGCAAGGTTACACACGTGTCGTTGCGTCATTTCGCTTGTATTTTGTTTCTGTCGCATAATATTTCCCGCTTCGACATATCCTCAACGCGAAGTAGCTTAAAAATATGTGTGTATGCATTCGTCTGTTGTTCGTCAAAAGCGTCTTTAACCTTTTAGGCACGACGCGCCACTATAGTGGCTTCCGCGGATATCATCTCTCTGAACGACGCGCCACTATAGTGGCTTGCTCTAGTAGCTCACTCGGTTATCGTTTGAATCAAATAGTCGTCTTCATATGCATTGTTTCACACTTCTTTTGTTTTCACATCGATTTACAATATACAGACTTATCTTAACAATATAACTGTTAACAATATAACTGTTAACAATATAGCTGTTAACAATATAACTGTCAACAATATAACTGTTAACAATATCTGTTAACAATATCTGTTAACAATATAGCTGTTAACAATATAGCTGTTAACAATATAACTGTTAACAATATAACTGTTAACAATATAACTGTTAACAATATAGCTGTTAACAATATAACTGTTAACAATATAATTGTATCTTAACAATATACAGACACTCTGTATATTCATGTCAAGTTCCAAAATCAACTTTATCTTTTAAAAACATACAGCGAAAGTTCGTCTCCTTCGAAAATGCAACTTTCTCGTCGGAGTTCGAGAGTAACATCATTTCTATATTTAGAGCTACAATGTATAGGCGGAAGCGTTGTCCTCGAATTTTTTTTTCAAGTTTTAAATGTCGTCGTGGGTGTCTCGATAAAAGGACAGATTTCATATCGACCGTTGAAAATGTATCCTAAGCTACATGTAGGCAATGTTTGCCGATCGGATAGTAGCCGCGCGTTAGGCGTCGCTCTGCCGGCCGGCTCTCTTGCTCTATACTTCCGTTTGTATCTCGTGCAGAAAGAGAGCTGCTCCTAAAGTATGGTCTTAACATTGGCGTAGATTAATAATTAAATATCGTTTTACGCGAAGTTCTATAGAAACCTTCGAGAAACAAAATAGTCGCAACATCGACGTTCAACAGCGACGTCTTCCGTAGTGTTCGTCGTTCACGAAAAAAAAGCAAAAACCTGTTCTTGCGTGACACATCGGTGCATGGTAAAATCATAATTTACATTGTGAACTCTTGCATGCACACCTTCCAGGTATTATACTTTTAATCGTTTCTTTAGACTTGTATCGCGATCAGAATCACGCGAAAATTAAATAAATACGTTTATCATAAAGTAAGTCGTGATATCATAAAGTAAACGCTGAACATTTTCGGTGGTCTAAAAAAAAAATGGTTTTGTCAACTCCAGCGAGAGAGTACTGTCCGATCGTTAATCATACACTTATCTGCTTCGTATCGGAACTCGAAATCCACTTCCGTCGCACGACATCGCGCTAATGAATTTCAAACAGGTGCCATGTTTACGAGCGTGTAAAAACGCGAGCCTCGTGTTCGACTCCGATCGATCAGCGATAACATCTTCTATCAACCGGGACCACTCCTTATTCGTCGGACACAATTTTCCAGGTTATAGAAAACGAAAGCGCAACAGCTTCGTAAACGTGACACTTGTTTATCCTTGACGTCTTATCGACCCGTTGTTATCTTTAATCTTAATGCTCTCTCGGTATAGATAACGAATATCCATCGATGTACTTACCAGGAAAAAAAAAATTCAATCAACCAATCGAATTACATCGATAACGTTGACCTCGCGCGACATTGATACAATCGTTACGCGCTGCAGTAGATTTATTTTTGTGAACGATTAAAATCGATCGAACGAAAAACGCGTTCTGTGCAATTTGCAGTGTGTTTATCCCGAGACGGATCGACGGTAATGTCGATGCGCAGTTGCCACATATGTACATTTCGTTCGCCGAATTTATCGTATATCGATCGATTATTACTATGGCGACGGGAGATTCGTGTCAGCCGAAGCACTGATATATCGCTTGTAGATGTATCAACGGAGCAATAATAAATTACAGAATACGCGGGATAATAATACAACACTTAGAGGATGATTGTGCCGTATGCTATACAGTGACACGATAAAAGATTGGCTTATTATCGAGATGCATCGTGGAATGAAATATACGTGTTGCATCACCATGGATTTTCCACTAAAACTATTTCCTATCTCGTGATAATGACAACGAGTATTCTATTATATAACGAAAAAAATAATGCGCACAATCGAATAAGCAGGGATGATAGTCATCGATAATCTTGAGACTAATTCCTGCATTTTCAAAATCATTTACAATCGTGTTCTTTCATGGAAATTTTTCTAACCTTTTAAAAAGGATCCTCGTTTGCAAACGGTTGACAATATTCGCTGATCGAGATTATGATGATAAAAGGTAACATATTTACGTTCGATTAGAAAGTACGAATAGAAAGTGTGAAATGCACAATCGAGAGATCAACTAGTCGTAGTTCGCTTTAATATATCTAGAAGACGAACAGTTTAGCGAACAAGACAATAGATACAATATTTAACGTTACGATGCACTTTGCAAAATATTTGAAGCATGCTGTTGGATATTACTGTACATGGTGCACCTATAATTTCGACGATGTGGATCGATGAATCATATCGCTTTATCAAGTGACTTGTTAGTAATCAATGTTATATACTGAGAGATCTGTTCAAACTACAATACTGCTGCGCCTTATCAATGTTTTTCACGCCTACACGAACACGTCACCGCGACGACACTTGCATTCACAGATTTTTTTTAACTGTCTACTAAAATGGCGGTCGTCGAATTTTTCCATTTCTCAACGAGTTCGTTCGATTTTCTTTCAGATAAACGTTCGCCATGGATAAAGGCATGCCACCACCAGCTCCAGGTTTCGCGACAGGGCCAACACCACCGCCAAGCTATGGTGCTCCACCTCCACATTACAACGATGGACAACCAAGTATGTAAATATATGTATAATCTATTGGGTTGGCAACTAAGTAATTGCCGATTTGTTCAATGAAATAAAAAATTTCATTTTACTTGGAATGAAGTTTAATCTGTAATGTATTTAACATTTTGTTCGATGACCTTTCGCCATCTCTCCGACAACTTGAAAATTCCACGCTCGTAGAAAGTCTGATGCTTTTCGGCCAAAAACTGAGTTAAGTGAGATTTTACAGCGTCATCATCATTAAAAGTTTTACCACGAAGGGAGTTGTCCAGGGATCGAAATAAGTGGTAATCCGATGGCGCGAGATCAGGGCTATATGGTGGGTGTAACATCGATTCCCAACCAACATCCATCAATTTTTGCCGAGTGGACAAAGACGTGTGCGGCCTAGCATTGTCCTGCTGGAAAATGGCACCTTTACGATTGACCAATTCTGGTCGCTTTTCCTTGACCGCTGCATTCAATTTGTCCACTTGCTAACATTCACGGATAATAAAAAATAACATAATAATAATAATAATAATAATAATAATAATAATTTTATAATATAACATTTACGGATATCATAAAAATGGGAATGAGAGACAT